AGACAGGAAAATAGAAGCTCAGAGATTTGTCCAAGGTCAGACTGCCACTACCTTGATATATGACTTTGGCAAATGCTTCAAACTCACTGCCTCAGCATCCTTGATTATGAAATGGAGACACCGTAGCACCTATACGGAGACTTTTGCACAGCCTCCCTGAGAAAACACATATGCACCAATAACAGACTTAAAGAGAGCCAAATCAAGAGTGAACTCCCATTCACAACTGCTACAAAGAGAATAAAATACCTAGGAGTACAACTAACAAAGGATGTAAAGGACCTCTTCAAGGAGAGCTACAAACCACTGCTCAAGGAAATAAGAGAGGACACAAACAGATGGAAAAACATTCCTGCTCATGGTTAGGAAGAATCAATATTGTGAAAATGGCCATACTGCCCAAAGTAATTTATAGATTCAACACTATCCCCATCAAGCTACCTATGACCCTCTTCACAGAACTGGAATAAACCATCTTAAACTTCATATGGAATCAAAAGAGAACTCGCATAGCCATGATAATTCTAAGCAAAAAGGACAAAGCTGGAGGCATCACACTACCTGACTACAGACTATACTACAATTAATCAAAATAGCATAGTATTTGTACCAGAACAGAGACACAGACCAATGGAACGGAACAGAGGCCTCAGACGCAACGCCACACATCTACAACTATTTGATCTTTGACAAACCTGATAAAAACAAGCAGTGGGGAAAGGATTCCCTGTTTAACAAATGGTGTTGGAAAACTAGCTAGCCATGTGCAGAAAGCAGAAACTGGACCCCTTCCTGACACCTTACACTAAAATTAACTCCAGATGGATTAAAGACTTAAACATGAAAACCCTAGAAGAAAACCTAGGAGAAACCATTCAGGACGTAGGCATAGGCAAGGACTTCATGACTTAAACACCAACAGCATTGGCAACAAAAGCCAAAAATAGACGAATGGAATCTAATTAAACTCCAGAGCTTCTGTACAGCAAAAGAAACAATCATTAGAGTGAACCAGCAACCAACAGAATGGGAAAAAATTTTTGCAATCGACCCATCTGACAAAGGGCTAATAGCCAGAATCAACAAAGAACTAAAACAGATACACAAGAAAAAAACAAACAGGTGAAGGACATGAACAGACACTTTTCAAAAGAAGACATATATGAGGCCAACAAACATATGAAAAAGTGCTCATCATCACTGGTCATTAGAGAGATGCAAATCAAAACCACACTGAGATACCATCTCAAGCCAGTTAGAATGGCGATCATTAAAAAGTCTGGAGACAACAGATGCTGGAGAGGATGTGGAGAAATAGGAACACTTTTACACTGTTGGTGGGAGTGTAAATTAGTTCAACCATTATGGAAGACAGTGTGGTGATTCCTCAAGGACCTAGAAATAGAAATTCCATTTGACCCAGCAATCCCATTACTGGGTATATATCCAAAGGATTATAAATCATTCTATTATAAAGACACATGGACGCATATGTTCATTTCGGCACTGTTTACACTAGCAAAGACCTGGAACCAACCCAAATGCCCATGGACTGGACAAGGAAAATGTGGCACATATACACCACGGAATACTATGCAGCCATAAAAAATGATGAGTTCGTGTCCTTTGTAGGGACATGAATGAATCTGGAAACCATCATTCTCAGCAAACTGACACAAGAACAGAAAATCAAACACAGTATGTTCTCACTCATTGGTGGGTGTTGAACAATGAGAACACGTGGACACAGGGAGGAGAGCATCACACACTGGGGTCTGTTGGGGAGAATGGGGAGGGACAGCATGGGGTAGGGAGGTTGGGGAGGGATAACATGGGGAGAAATGCCAGATATAGGTGACGGGGGAGATGGAGGCAGCAAACCATATTGCCATGTATTTACCTATGCAACAATCCTGAGTGTTCTCCACATGTACCCCAGAACCTAAAGTGCAATTATATATATACAAAAGAAAAAAGAATACATATGTGAGCGATTATCACCATTATCACCAATGGTGGATTATCACCATTATGATGGAAAGAGAGTCTGGCGTTTCTTTCAGTTGTTTGCAGTGGGTAATGTAAATCCACTTTTGCTAAATCTTTTTACTTTTGTAAATGTTAATCCACAACACTTGACTCCAAGTAACACTCCTAAATTCAAATCTTGAAAATTAAGTCAAAAGTATAAAAGTATTTAGTGGGCCAAAAGTCGTAGTGTCGAGCCCACAGGTTTATGGATTGCAATCACATACGCATGTCATGTGGAATGAGGCAAACTTGCAGTGTTAGTGCTCCCGTGGTGACCGCATGGCTGCCACTTGTCCTCTCTTGCTGACCGTGCGATTACTAAGTGCAGCACTCTCTGATCAGCACCACTCTTACTCTCTCAACAGTATCACATCCACTTAGCAGATGAGGAAATATTGGCTCAGAGAAGTTCAGGGATTCGGCTGAATTCTCATTGCCATTATGAACCTAGACCTAGCAGTGTCCACAGGAACTTCGCTCTGGAGCCTCCGCTGCTGCTCTTTCTCTGGACTATCCACTTTTTTCAACCTCCCTTCCTGGAGACAGCTGATGACCAAACTAAAACGGTACCAGATGTCTCCACTTAGGACTGAACATCCAGAAGAGGTGACAGACATCACCCCAGGCAGGAAGGTCAGCTTCCCAACTTGCCCCCTGCTGCCTTGAGTGTGGGGAAACAGCCAGCAAAGAATGGGGCTGAGCCCCAGGCGGCTCATCTTGTCGATGTTCCTGCTTAGGCATCATTAAATAAAAGCTGTTGTTTATCCTACAGATGGGCTGTTTTGGCTTGTGTGTGTCCTCGTCCATGTTTAGAAGCCCTATTTAATTTAAATCTTGCAGGGTGGCTTAAAATATTCTCCATGGCTATAAGGATATGCTTTTCCATCTTCATCAGCATTCCTGCTGCGAATTCCCAGGTGGGCACTGACCGTATCAGAGGTTCCTCATTCTATCAGGTGACCCTCGGTGTTCTGAAGAGTCGGGGACTTACTGCAAGGTCTCTCCCTCTCTCATAACTGGAGTCAAGGTCATGGGCTGAGTCAAACAGGATGAAACTGGTTGTTGGTCTATACGTGACTTGAGCAGCCACAGAGCAGAGTCTACTTATCAGTAACGATGCCCTTTCCTGGGGGCCATTTCCACGGCAGGATGTGCACCCTAGGATGTCTGGAATGCTCCCGGCCAACGATAAAGCATCTGGGCTTATCAACGATGCAACACGAGGCAGTGAAGTTACTGATGACCTCAGTTCCAGAGAGACTTAGTTCACATTATGTTGCAGACTTGGTGTCGTCTTGGAAAAATAAATTCTTATTGGGTTTGTTGGTTTGATTTCGCTTTCAGAGACTTATTCTCCTATAATTTTGCTCCTTACTGAGAGATACATAGTTTTCAATTTCAAAGGATTTACTGAATAGGTGATATATGTACATAACAAGACAAGTAGTATTAAAGAGGCTGTGTCTACGGAAACAGATCGTCTCATGCTGGGAATGCTCTATTTCTTAAGTATATGTTAATTACATGAATGCTCATGTGTTATTATTTTTCAGCATAATTTGGATTGTATATGTTCTCATGTACATATATATTTATATACACATATATTATATATATATTTATTTATTCCCCCCCCTTTTTTTTGCAAGTTCTTACTGCCAATCTTGAATCTCAGAGCTCTAGTTTCCATCTTCCCTTTCTTTTTTTAAATCTTTCTAGGAACAGTCTATTCAGATACACAAGTATATAGACACACACACACACACACACACACACACACACACACACAGGCATGTTAAACACACAGGTAGGTAAATGTAGCCTGCCTTTTACACCAAGAGCAGCATATGAGACAAAGTGGTCTGCACTTTGCTTTTCACTTGGAGCAAATATATCGGTGGATGTTCCATATCAGCAGAGAGAACACTCTGCCTTGTTTTGATAACCATCGTACTGGTATATGATTACGTATTCCATGTTTTATAGAAGATGGCTCCTAAAGGAAGACATTTTGGTTGTTTCCAAATTTTCTACAGAAACTAATGCTGTGATGTGTATTTCTGGGCATGTAAATCTTTGTTCTTGTAGATTAAACTATCTGTGGAAGAAAAGCGTAATGCTGAGTGTATAGTACAGTTCCGTTCAGCTCACTCCCGAGCTAGTTCAGTTCTTTTACGGAATGACTCAGTAACCAGTTGAGCATATCCTCACTGCCTCCACCCACACCCGACAGGATCTATTAGGTTGGTGCAAATATAGTAACTTAGCAGAGTAAGGTAGCGTGATTCATATAACAGCAAAAAATCCCCCTTTTTTCTTTCCATAAAACATTCACCACTTCCAGGAATGCCACAAAAACGTCTTAAAATTATTCTAGCGGAAAGACCTTAACAAGTGCTCTCAAGGGTTTGGAAAAACAGAAATGCTTATAATTGCTGTGTGGAGCTTAATGGGTGGTAGCCCCTTTGCAAAACAGTTTATCTGTTTCTGAAAACATTACACAGACATTTACCAAATGACCCAGCAGTTCCACTCACAGGTATCCAACCAAGACAAATAAAAACCATCAGCGCACACATTTGTACAGGAGTGTTCACAGCTTCATTTTTCATCAAAGCCAAAAAGTGAAAACAATGAAATGTTCACCAACTACCAAATGGATGAGAAAACCCGTCGTGTATCCCCACAATGGAATGTTATTTGGCCATGGCCGTGGAAAGGAATGAAGCGCTGATACATGCTACATACAACACGGATGACGACATGGATGAACCTTGAACATATGATATGAAAGAAGCCAGACACAGGAGAATACATATGGTTCCACTGACATGAAACATTTTATCAAAGGGAATTCTAGAGAAAATAGGTTAGTGGTTGGCAGGGGCTGGGAATGGGAGGTGAGTATGAGGGACTCCTACGGAGGGACAAAAATGTTGTAAAATTGGATTGAGATGATGATTGCATACCTTAGAAAGTTTGCTAAAATTTGTTGTGTTGCACTCATTTGCGCCGGGCACTCGGTAGGCTACACAGAAGAAAAAGATGCCGCGATCTCTTCCATCCCACCACTTCGGCTCCAATGAGGACCTCAACAGCAGTGATTCTTTCAAAGTTTTTTCTTTATTAGGATTTGGGCTGACATTTTAAAGCATAAAGGTTTCACAATGAAACAAACTGAGCTTTCGGGCTGGGCTTGCAACATTGGTAAGTGCTGCCTTATTTGCACACACCCACGTGACGGGGGCTGGGTAGAGCTGAGCTGTGATGCCCTTGCTATTTGGGAAGCAGCTCTAGTTCCCCAGGCTTCCCTCCCCCTCGCCTCTGCTCCCCAGCATGCATCCACTTTAGGGACCTAGTTTTCAGGACCTCTGACCCGTGTTCCTTGGTACTGTGCCAGGCATCATGGGAGTTGTGTGACCTTAGAACCCCATGGCTGGCATCGGGAGGCAAATGACACCACGGGTGACCAAGCTTTCCACTTTGGAATTCAAATTTCTGTCTTCCTTCCAGGCGATGTCTTCTTTGCATTTATAGCAGTTTCATTTTAGCTTTATGTCACTTCTGTCTTCATCAGTTTGGTATCACCTTGCAATGCAGAAGCATGCAGCTACGGCCTCAGTTTTGGGGACTAGGTTTAGGACAGGGGATGTGCCTTCACCCCCTGGCAGGTCAGAGGGGCAGCACAGTCAGGGCAAAGCTAACCTCTAACAAGCAGATAACAAAGGCTGCCGTGCATCCCCAGTCGCAGGCCCTCTCCCTGCAGAAGTGAACCTGCTTCACAAAGCTGCCTCTTAAGTGGGAGTTCCGAACAGCCCACAGGGGACACCCAAATGGGAAGTCTGATTGGATGTGAAAATCGCAGGGTGGCTGCATAGCTCACTCAGAAATTAGACCGTGTTCTGTCCCATTAGATTTTCTACTGCCTGGGCAGCTCATTGTGCTGAGTAACTGCCTCCATCTGCAAGCTCCCGTCCCCTGGAGAGAGATCAGGACCCTATCATCATCATCTCTGAATGAATTGCCTCATCCGCCAAAGGTAAATATTTTCCAGAGGTGGCGATAATTCTGGGGAGATCAGGAAAGGTTACCAAGTCGGTCCCAAGGTCCACAGAGGCCCCTTCATGGTCTCTTTCCATTTTTCTAGCTCCCTTTCTGCTGTCAATTAAAAGCTTTAGTTTTCTTCATGGAGTTTTGAATAGGTCATTTTCCTCAAGGGTCACAGTGTCTTAAGCTTGCTATTTAATTGTGGAGTAAAACCTGTAGTAGATTGTATTTACCAAAAAGGCTGTGATGACACATTTTATATTATCTTAATGTGACATTAACACTCTTCTCATCCCAAAGTGAGGTCTACATTTCATTTCCCTTGAACTTGGCAGATCTGGGACCATAGTAAAAATTATTCTATGTAATCTGTGAGATGAGATCACAAGAGGAAAACAACTTCCAACGCATCCCACTTGGGACCCCTACTCTTGAGATACGGTGGCCATTCTCTGAGGGACCCCACACCACATGAGAAAGCCACATGTAGGCATCTGGCCGATGGTACTGGCTGACAACCAACTGTCAGACATGTGAGCAAACGACCTTTCAGATGACTTCAGCCCTGGCTATGAGGTCATTCCCACCTCCCACAACTGTCCCATTTTCCTAGCCACGGCCTCGTGTCTTATAAAACAGAAAAACATCAATCCCCATCATTCACCTCAAATCAAAGACACATGAACTAAATAAATGTCCTTGTTTTAAGCTAATAAACTTTGTGGTGTTTTATTATGCAGGGATAGATATCCAGAACAAACTCCCTCATTCCTTATTAAAGCAATGTCCTTGGGAAAGTAGGAAAAGTCTGTAACTAGACGGAACACATTTCCTGAAGCCCTGTTGAGTTCACAGATGCTGAGTTCTGGGCACTGCTCGTTGACCAGACCCAGCCAGATTCCCAGAACCAGGGGCAGGGGTCTCAGTCAACGTTTGCTGAGTGAATGACTGACTGTTCCTTAGAGTTGCACAGCTGCTTGCAGTTTAGAAGACAGGCTAGGACTTCCCCTCGGAATGCTGCAGACTGATCACAGGATGAAACTCCTTCTTCTCCTCCATGATCACATTAAAATGATGGAAAACAGTAAGAAAGGTAAAAACCTACCATCGACAGATCAACACCACCAATGCATTTTGGGAAGAAGAGAAGCAAATGAGCCCATGACAGGGTAAGTGACATGGTTTGGCTGGAGCCACACTCAAATGTCATCTTGAATTGTAGTTCCCATAATCCCCATGTGTTGTGGGAGGAACCAGGTGGAGATAATCAAATGGTGGGATTGTTTCCTCTCATGCTGTTCTAGTGACAGTGAGTGAATTCTCATGAGATTTGGTGGTGTTAGAAGGACTTCCTTCTTCAGTGGATACTTTTCTCTCTCCTGCTACCCTGTGAAGGGGTTCCTTCTGCCATGGTTGTGCATTCTCTAAGGCCTCCCCAGCAATGAGAAACTGTGAGTCAATTAATCCTCGTTCCTTTATAAATCACCTCGTCTGGGGCATTTCTTCACAGCAGCATGAGAACACACGAATACAGTGAGCTTCATATAGGATAAATATGGGCATAGAGATAAATGACTGCAAAAGCCAGGATTCCACCACAGCATGCAAATATTCCAAATGTTAAACAATGAATGCAACCAGTAAAGACATAGGGTACAAGAAGTGGAAAGACTCCCAACTCCTTCGTCTTTTTTAAAAAAGAGAGCCCGTCCATACTGTTAAAACTGAATCACTGAAACTAAAACAGTAATTACATCCATAACAATTAGAACAACGGCTCTAGAAATGGAATCGCTTTTTGGCATCAACACTTTCTGTAATTTCAACAGACAATTTTTCAAAACCTATATCTATTGCAGTCAGCTAGACTTTGTTTGAAGTCGAGTAATGTCACTTCAGATTCTTGGTCTCCTGTTAAATGTAAGTAAAAATAAATTTAGCACATTTTCATCAGAAAGTGCATTCAGAGTACAAGTGCATTTTTATATCGTGCTATTATCACTTTTTCGATGGTCTGTTTGTGCATGTCGTGCTTGGAATGACGCCTGGAACGATGAAGGTCGTCTTGATATTTAAAAGAAAAAAATTTAAGTCTTATGGTTTGAGATGATTTTTTTGTTGTTTTCCTGCTTCTGCACAGCTTGAACTTTTTATAATAAGCATTATTTTTAATAAAAACCGAAGTTATTACCAAAGCACATCGGGCCTTGTATTTCCAAGGAGCTGGCAATGGCGTTGGCTGACGGATGCTAGCGCACCTTTAAGGGTGCAAGCCTCCATGTGACCATCACTGTGCTAATGTATGGGGAGGCTCCAGAAAGGAGACTGAATTTATTCACATGCTGCTGGTGGGCTGGGGAGGTGAGGAAAGTGGAGGGGAGTAAAGAGTGCAATCCAGCAGGAAATCCACACGCAGGGAAGATCAGATGCACCACTGAGTGCTGGGGAGCGGGGCAGACAGCACTGCAAGGTTGATGGCAGTAAGTGTCCATCAGTCAACGAGTGAATGCATAAAATGCACAGCCCACAATGGAGTAGGATTCACCCGTGAAACGAAAGGAAGCGCCGGTACATGCTGCAACACTGCTGAGCCTTGCAAACATTCGGCTGAGTCAGGCTGAGCCGAGCCTTGCAAACACTCGGCTGAGTCAGGCTGAGCCTTGCAAACACTCGGCTGAGTCAGGCTGAGCCTTGCAAACACTCGGCTGAGTCAGGCTGAGCCTTGCAAACACTCGGCTGAGTCAGGCTGAGCCGAGCCTTGCAAACACTCGGCTGAGTCAGGCTGAGCCGAGCCTTGCAAACATTCGGCTGAGTCAGGCTGAGCCTTGCAAACATTCGGCTGAGTCAGGCTGAGCCTTGCAAACACTCGGCTGAGTCAGGCTGAGCCGAGCCTTGCAAACATTCGGCTGAGTCAGGCTGAGCCTTGCAAACATTCGGCTGAGTCAGGCTGAGCCGAGCCTTGCAAACATTCGGCTGAGTCAGGCTGAGCCTTGCAAACATTCGGCTGAGTCAGGCTGAGCCTTGCAAACACTCGGCTGAGTCAGGCTGAGCCTTGCAAACATTCGGCTGAGTCAGGCTGAGCCTTGCAAACACTCGGCTGAGTCAGGCTGAGCCTTGCAAACACTCGGCTGAGTCAGGCTGAGCCTTGCAAACACTCGGCTGAGTCAGGCTGAGCCTTGCAAACATTCGGCTGAGTCAGGCTGAGCCTTGCAAACATTCGGCTGAGTCAGGCTGAGCCGAGCCTTGCAAACACTCGGCTGAGTCAGGCTGAGCCTTGCAAACATTCGGCTGAGTCAGGCTGAGCCTTGCAAACATTCGGCTGAGTCAGGCTGAGCCGAGCCTTGCAAACACTCGGCTGAGTCAGGCTGAGCCTTGCAAACGTTCGGCTGAGTCAGGCTGAGCCTTGCAAACACTCGGCTGAGTCAGGCTGAGCCTTGCAAACATTCGGCTGAGTCAGGCTGACAAGCCACACATGGTTTGATTCCACTGGTGTGAAATGTCGTCTGCTATTGGCAAATTTACAGAGACGGAAAATAGGTTAGTGGTTTCCTGGGGCTAGCAGCAGTGGAGGACATGGCGTTGGGGGGGCCTAGGTACAAGGTTTCATGATAGAGAAAATGTAAAATTGGTAGCAGTAATGATTGTACAACTCTGAGGATGTAATAAAAATCACCGAATCTCACATTTAAAATGGGTGAATGGTATGGTATGTCAATATACTCACATTAACAAGGTTATATTTACACATATTTATATAACAAATTGACTATTCATCAGAGATTTGCAGTAGAAAGAGCTTAATGTAATTTTAAATGTCTTCTTGAGCATAGGTTTCAGTAAAAGCCACTAACAAATGCTAGAATCAAGAATACACTGGCCGGGCGCGGTGGCTCAAGCCTGTCATCCCAGCACTTTGGGAGCCCGAGGCGGGTGTATCATGAGGTCAAGAGATCGAGACTATCCTGGTCAACATGGTGAAACCCCAACTCTACTCAAAATACAAAAATTAGCTGGGCATGGTGACGCGTGCCTGTAATCCCAGCTACTCAGGAGGCTGAGGCAGGAGAATTGCCTGAACCCAGGAGGCGGATGTTGCGGTGAGCCGAGATTGTGCCATTGCACTCCAGCCTGGGTAACAAGAGCGAAACTT